TGGACCTCATGCATTGGAAATAATCTGTCTGTCAAAATAAATGCACTTAAATTTGAGTTTGTCTCACTTCAACCTGAACATGTTTTGTACGCAAAAAGTTATTGATTTAATAAAATAGTGGGTTTCAAGGATGTAAATTTTTCCTATATTTTTATCATATTCTTTACATGGTAAATCCAAAACCTATTTTAATTTTCTAATTGGTGTACAAAGATTCAGTTAGCCCCTAAGAAGACATTTAAACTTCATTTAATAGTAAGTAATAAGTATTTTAATAACAAGGAGAAATAAACTACATGTTCAGCTGGTGATGGTTCATGAGCTGATTATCTGCATTATGAGAATGTCCATACAGTTTGACCCAACAGTTTACTTACCTGAAACTTGGTGGTCACAGTTTCAAGTCCTTCGATCTTGGAGTCCTGCAGAGCGGAGTAGGTGGATATGGTGTCCAACATTTCTAGGATCTTGTTGAGGCGGCGCTGGAATGCATCGAACTTCCCAAAGATGTACATCTCGCTGCAGTCGAACTGTCTCTCCGAGGGTCTCTGTTCCAACGTCTCCTTGGTTTTACGGAAACACCGCTGGTACTCCTGACAAAAACATTTATACACAAAACCAGCTTCAGTCGCTTGAGTCCAACAACCCTCCACTAACTTAACTACCTTGATGGAATATTTAAGTTTTCTTTTTATTCTTTAAAAAGACCAACATAAAGGAAGAAGAGTCCATTTAGTCATAATGTTTAGATGTTACTAACTTTGCCTGAAGGAAACAACAACTAGTGACAAAGAAAACAGAAGAAATAAACAAACTATATAAGACATATTCCTTTGTACCTGATTTAGGCGAATTGCAGCTTTGAGTTTATCTGCAACAACTTGCTGAGGTTGGTCCCACAAACAGTTCAAGCCATTGTTAGTGATATGAGCCTTACAGGCAGCGATCATCTGGTTTGTAACCTGCAGGTGTAAACAGCTGTTTGAGAAAATGATCTTTATGAACACAGCTGTGAAGAGTATTGCTTACCGCACATTATACACCAGTCGACAAACTATTATACAGAAATCTATAGCAATGGCCCAGACAAGCAGAGAGCTTGTTTAACCTTTGACCTTGATTTGTGGCCTTGAACTTGGAGCTGGGGGGATGAAAACAGTTTGGGACAGTCCTTTTTTAACTCTGACCTTGATCTGAGCTGGTGTGATGATGCTTGCGTGTATGAAGCTTCATTAGTTTATTTATGTCCGCCTTTGACGGACGCATAAAAAGTGGACATTTGTTCTCTTCTTGCACACGGTCAGTAAAATGTTCCAGAGGTGTTCTGTGTTTGTTATTCCACAAACACTGTAAAGCTTACAAGTTGTACTGTAGGATGTTAAATATAAAATCCATTAAGGCATAGTTTGTTAAGATCTTCTGTAACCTTACTTTAGTGGACAGATCTTTTACTACTTTCTTGTTTTCTTTTATTCATCTTTTTCTACAAAGATTAACTGCAACATGTAAAAAAAATCTTATTTTTTCCAAATGATTCTCTGAGGTGTTCAGAATTTTTATTTTAGCTTACTTTTTTTTTTCCACATGAAATCCTGCTGTAGTTTGAGATGGTAACTCTTGTTTTTTGGGTCAATTAACCTTTTTATTACACACGTGTCTCAGACGACGCATTTTCATATTTTGTTTTTCTTCATTTTAAACTAAAAATACACTCTTTTAAGAGACAGTAAATTATAAATAACTGCTGCACAACAGAAGTTCAAATAAAGATAGAATTATTATAGAAAAATTGGCTAAAATATTTACTCACAGATAGTTAAAATAAGCTAAAATATCCAGGTGTAAATTTGGAGGATTGGGTGGATAAAGGGTTAAATAATCCAATCAATGTTTCTGTATTAAAAAAATAAAATAAAATGGAATTATGTAATAATGCACTGCCAGCACATTTTTAATTTTTCATCCAAAATAGAAAATTCAACATTTTACTTCTTTCTCTAATTTATTTTTTCCATAAAAAATCAAATCCAACAAAGTCCACACAAATTGGACAAAACCAATTGTCACTTAATGCAGCATCATAAACAACTGCTCCAACTCAAACAATTTATAAACGCTTGTGATTTCTTATAGGTAGCCCATACTGTTGTCTAAATACTTTCAAACACAGAGAAAAAAACAAATATCAAAATGTCCTGATGCATGCTGAATAATCCAGGTAGATAAAGTTAACAAGGTTGAGTCAGGTCCTCTGGACGGATTCTTCTTTGATGAAACGTTTCGTCTTTTATCCAAAAGACTTTGTCAGTCTAAGGAGCTGCAACTAATTCAGTCTTATAAAGAGCTTCACATAGTGGATCATCAACCAGTTTGCTGGTGACATCCAGAACTATTTGTTCACAGGTAAAAGAAGGACCATCAGCCTAGCGACTGATTGTTAGTGCCCTGATGGCTGCTTGCTATTCACAGAAGGCTGTGATACTAGCAATAACAACATTGTAAGAGGGGGACAGTTGCCGGGGGACTGGATCTTTGGGATGAACCAGTTTTTGCCGTAATGTATTTTGGGGTTTAAAAGCCACTGGGACGTTATGTTTAGAAAATAAACGTCTCATGCAGTTTCTCTGAAACTCCCACAACATACGGAATGACCACTGGTCTGGGTCCTGTTTGGGTTTCTTCTCTGCTTTCAGAAAAGTCCAGTTAGGATATCCACATTGCTCCAGGGCCTGTCCTGTGTGGGATTCCTCCTTCTGCCTGGCTCCTGAATTTGTGGGGTGCTATCAGCTCAGAGTGGCAACATGCAAACCATTCTGAAAAGATGAAGACCATAGAGGAGGTGAAGTGGAATTGAGAAGCTTCGCTCTCAAAAATTGAAGGCTTGTGCTCACTGCCAGATCATGCACAAGCTTGAGTTTTTGGTGTGAAAACGTGATATAAAATAATAATAATAATAATAATACTTTACAACATGGAGAATTTTGCTAATATAATTTCCATTGAGTTCATGTAGGCAGGAGGAACGGAGCTTTTCAAAAACAGCAATGCTTATTTTACATCATTTTGTGTTCAGGAAACAAAACAATTCAGCTGTTTTTTATGACAAAACTAATAAAAAAAAGAAAAATCTTCAGGAGCATTTTTAGCCAAATGACGCATTCTTTTTCTGTTTTTTATTTTATTATTATCACTATAATTTTTTTTTGGTTTTTGTATTTGTTGTACATGGACATTCTTATCACCTCAGGGCACAGAATTAATATTTCTCCAGTTTTTTTGAATGTGCACCAAAAACTCCAATTAAAACATAAACGGAGCAGCATAGATAGGATCTAAATACAACTGTAAGGACTTAGTTAAACAGTATTTTACTGTGTCTGATTCTTTGACCAAACTATGTTATGTGAAGTTGTATTATTTTATTTTAATAACCTTTATTTAACCAGGCAGACCTCAGATCAGTTTTTAAAGAGGCCTGAGCCTGAAGGCAGCCTAAACATTAATGTTTTGAAAAAGAACTACACAAAAAACAAGGAGAACATGTAAACTCCACACAGAGGGATGCCAAGTCCAACCTTGACCTTCTTGCTACGAGGTCACGGTACTAACCACTAATCCATTGTAGTTCCCCACTGAAAAGCTCAATAGGGCTTTAAAAACTCTCTATGATAATCAAGAATAGTTTTATTTTATCTTTTTAGCCAAAGATTAAAAGAAACTAAAAGCCAACCCGTTCTCCTGATGTGATTTATATTTTGCAGTATTTTTAACATCGACACGTGTTGTAAGACGATAATAGTACCTTGATGAAAAGAGATGTGATATTTTCTGATGTGTTGTAGTAACGAGAGAAACTGTGAATCATCTTGATGGCATTAATCAAACCTGGGATTGCATCAACCATCGATACCTGGAGGATTAAAAAAATAATAATTCTGGTTTATTTTAACCAATCAACATTTAAATACTTTAAGTGTTCAGTTTAACTTGCAGGATTGCTGTTGTAGAGAGGATCATAGAACTTCTCCAGGCTGTAGAGGTACTTGACGTTGTCTTTGGCCTCGTTGGCTGCATCAGTGATCCGAGTGTCCAGTTCCTGCCATGACTGAAAACAAAAGGGTCACTGCATTTTAAAATACCACATCTTAAAACTCTTAAAATGACTTTAAGTGTATCCTGATGCATGCTCAATAATCCAGGTAGAAAAATCTAAAAAAGTTAAATCTGGTCCTCTGGACATTCAAAAAACAAAAACAAAGCAAAACAACAAAAAAACTTTAAGTGTAATTCACGTGGCAGAATGAGTCGTTTGGCAGCAGACATTAATGAAACTAACACCGCTACGTGAACAGACGTCATTCTGACCTTGATAAGTTTAGATTTGGCCATCAAGAGCACGCCGCGTATGGCCCTGAAGTCGGGGCTCTTCAGCTGGTCCAGAAGATAGTTGAAGCGGAACATCCGTTTCTTCCAGTGGTCCAGCTCGGCCCGAGGGCCCAGGTCATCAGCGTCCTTTCTGAGCAGGTCGCTCTCTGCTAAAACCTGGAGAACAGAGTTGACTTACAAAGATTCATGATCACAAACAGCACGTTTTACAGTTTATCAGTTGGTGTCGGCACAATGAGAATATTTATCTGGAGATTTTATTGTTGTCCCCCAGTTAAAGTCAAATTAGGATACAAAATAAGCAGATGTTGTACTTCAGGCAGGTGCAGAGGTTATCCACATCCATCTTAAGAGATGTGTCTCATCGTCTGCTCTGTGAGATCAGGCTCCTCTCATCGGGATGCAGATATTTGATTCCTTGATGTAAAACTAAGCGGTATAAAACCAGTTTTGTTCCTGTTGTCATAAGCTTCCAAAATTTGACTTGGCATAGCATAGCTCCGGGCCATTTTGTACGTCATTTTTGAAACATGTTATATTTTATGTGGCAAGAAAATTGACTCACCTCACTGTAACCAAATCTACCTAAGGGTATAAATAAAGTTGACTGATTGATTGATAGATGTTTGTAAATGTTTAAAGTGGTACATACTAATAACTTCCCCTTGGGATTAATAAAGTATTTTTGAATACTTTTTTTAAATTTTCTCTCCGTGCATGCGTGGGTTTTCTCCAGGTACTCCAGTTTCCTCCCACAGACCAAAAACATGCATATTAGGCTGATTGGTGACTCTAAATTGTCCCTAGGTGTGAGTGAGAGAGTGAATGGTTGTTTGTCTCGTTTGTCTCTATGTGTCCCTGTGATGGACTGGAGACCCGTCCAGCGTGTACCCCGCCCCTCACACAGTGATTGCTGGACATGGGCACCGGCGACCCCCGTGACCCAAAATGGAATAAGCGGGTAAAGATAATGGATGGATAGATGGATGGATGGATGGATGGATGGATGGATGGATGGATGGATGGATGGATGGATGAATACTAAGTCCTGATGCTGTTAGACTCATGAATCTCTAACCAGAACAATCACTGTGAAAAACCATATCATGTTGCTGCTGAGCTGTTTCATGCTGATGTGTTCATGCGTGCTCATCTGCTCACACAGACTCATGCTCATGTTCGTGTTGCTGTTCGACGTAATGTCTTTATGCTATTAGTGTTTAGTGTATTTTTAGTTTATGTTTTTCTTAGTTCATATCTTAGCTGCTATCATTGTTTTTCTTTTACATTTTATTGTTGGATGTAACTGGGACCCTGTGTACATAATTTCGTTCCACCACATGTACCACATGTGTTGCGAATGACAAAGAATCTCTGACTCTCTGATACACTTAAACACATTTTATTTGCATAACAATAAAAAGTAGGTTTAGTTTGTTTCAGGATAAATAAATTTCAAACACCGTTTGTTGATATTTGGAGCATTTTAACTCATGTTTTTGGATGTACACTTGATGTGTTCAGTTTTAGTCAAAGCCAACTCAAGCAAACATGAAATAAACAAAACTAATTTCATTTTGAAATCTGGCCACAAGTTGTACAGCACAACAATTAAAAAAAGCATCTTTACTGAGCAGTTAATAAAAATGTGACCCATCACATCAAACTGAGAATTAAGTTGCAAAGTGCTAGAGATTGGTTTGTTAAAAAAAAAAATAAAAAAAATCAGTATCTTAATTTTGGCAAAGTATGGTGAATAAAAACTTTATTTCTGGGTCCCTTGAGATGTCCAAATATAATCCTATGCTTTGAAGCACTTTTTGAACAATAATAACAACTTTTTATGATTTTGAACAGAACAAAGTTTTTCTATTTTCCCTGCATGCAAGTAAAAAAATAAACTTTCCAGCTGGGATATCTCAATTTCAAATACGGTTTGTGGTTTTCCTTTCAAATGGCATCAAGAAATCCTCAAAAGAGGAAAAAACAGGACTCCGATGGATTTTCTTGGGGTTATTCCAATAAGCAAGATAAATCAAGCCACATTTCTGGAACCACTCATGATATCAGGATGATATCGGTATTTGAAAATGTGTTTTGTCTAGTTTGACCAAATCCGATTGAATCATTGGTTTGATGTGATAAGTCCCAAATGACGACACCTTGAATAATCTCTTACTTGTTCGATCTGTTTGATCCACACTTTCATGCAGGTCTCCATCTTTTCAACAGTTTCTGTGCTGCTGGCTGCAGCCTTGTAGTCGGCGGGGCTTTTTAGCATCCGCACGTGAAACGCGTCACACTCCTTCAGAGTCACCTGAAAACAAGCCACAGCAGGATTTATGTAAACTTGTTCATTTTAATCACATCCTGGACAGAGAGGAACGATGGCTTGAGAGAGGAGTAAAGGAGGCCATCTTTGTGGAAAAAAAATTGTCCATCATTAAACAGGGGTGGAGGCCTCTGGGTTCACCTGTCCCCCTCTTACAATGCTGTTATTGCTAGTATCACTCAGACTCCTGTGAATAGTAAACAGCCATCAGTGTGCTAATGATCCATTGCTAGGATGATGATCCTTCTTGAGCATGTGATCAGCTGGTTTTGGTTGTCAGCAGCAAACTGGTTGATCCACTCTGAGAAGGTGCTATTTAAGAGACTGAGCTGAAAACAGCACCTCAGACTGAGGAAGTCTTTTGGATGAAAGATGAAACGTATCTACATTTTTTTGCTTTGTCTTTTGTTTTTTTGAATGTCCAGAGGACCAGATTGAACTTTTTTAAATGTTCATTTTAATAGCGGGGCTGGCAGCAGAGCGGGAGGTCGCTGCTGCAGCTGTGGAACATCTCTGTTGCTGCCTTTGGCCACGACAATCCTTTCAGCGGGCCGGGGGGCGGGATGAGGCGTGCGGCTTGATCAGATAGCGTACAGTCTCCGAAACCTCCTCCGACTTTTTCGACTTTTCTAGATTGGCCTTGAAATTGGTCTCGAACAGCGCGTTCGTCATGATGGGGCCTTCCATCAGGTCCTTCTGCAGTTTCTCCGGCAGGGAGGAGGAATGACGGAGCCAGGTGGACCTCTGGATCATCGTCATCCAGGCTGCGATGCGGGACAGGCAGACAGCAGATGAGGCGCACAGGTTGAGGATGACGTCAGACGCCTTGCAGAGGGAGCTCTTCGTCTCCTCAGGCAGATCTGCGTTCTCCAGTCTCTTTGAAACGCTGTACACCAACAGCGCCATGTTATTGTTTGCTGCAGCTGCCTGGAACGCACACTGGTGAGCTCGATTGGAGAGCGACGTCACCGTCTGGTCATGCATCCCGGGATGAACAGGACGCTGGTCCAACCTGGACAACTTTGCTCTTAAAGCTTCCGCCAGGCTCAGCTCTGGGGGATTACCAAGGGAAAGTTCCGCTCAGTAAACCCCTCCACTCTGGTGATGGGAGTGAATGTGGAGACGGGCGCTCTCGATTTACCAGGTCCAGCTGCGGCCTCGTTCCAGTAGGACATCACTGCTGGGAAACGAGGCCAGATGGGATCAGGACGGTGAGTTGGGGTGGAGCCAAACCTTCCCGCTAGATCATCCGATCTGGGCGAGGGGAGGAGAGGGACGGAAAGTCCCTTCGTGTCAGCAGCCTCCCGGATTATGCTGGGCAGCTCTGAAAGGAGGGCACCGATGGCAGGGAGCGGTGTGGCCGTTGAGGCGGAAAGGCCCGGGGGGGGGGGGGGGGGGGGGGCACCCGCTCGGCCCCCCTCGTTCCGACAGCGGGGCTGCTGCTGACGTCGCCTGTCCCGGAGGAACCATCCGATTCGCTCCGAGAGCAGGCGTCAAAAAAGTCGATGGCATCGTCCAGCAAACAGTCTCCTGCCACAGAGAGGCATTCCTCGACGTTAGCCTTGAACAAGGCTGCTCGCCTCTGCCTTTCCTCCAAAGGGAGGAGGTCACAGAGGTGGCAGGAGGAGGCACGGGCAGCATGGCGGGGACCCAGGCATCCTTCGCAGGTGTCGTGCCGGTCGAAGCTCAGCAAGTAGCCGGTCTTGCAGGACGGACACAGGCGAATGGTGTGGGGCTGGACCTCTCGATGTTGAAGGTCAGTGCTAATCGCTCGCTGAAGAAAAATGGGAGCCGATTACCCGCTCTTAACGTAATTTATACAGACCGGGTGGGGCCCACACAACAGGTGGGCGTGGACTAAACTTTTCAGTGCGATGCTTTGCATGACGGAATAAACCCAATAGCGAAGGCCTTAAAGGGCTACGCCTATACTCATAGAATCTGGGGTTACAGTACATAACCAACGTTTTATTTACTCATACAGCAACACATATTTCTTACTTTCTCTTGGAGGCTCTCTTGTGCACCGGCCAGAACAGACACGAAGCTTTCAAGTGAGGTTATGAACTCGTGTTTCACAGCCTGGGCCTGAGGGGCGGCCAGCTCCCCCCAACCATGGTTCGTCTTCCTCAGTGTGGGGATGAAGATATCTGAGAGCAGCTGCTCCACACTTTTTAACAGACCACCCTCTGTTGTATCCAACATGTTAAAATTCACATCCTACAAAACAGAAGTGTTGTACATTACAATAATTACAAAATATTTGATTGTGTTCAGAGTTCAGAGTCAGGCTGAGGCTGAAACCAAACATTTCAAGCTTTACAACATCTGTAAATCTGCTCTGGTCTACAGTGAAGAAACAAACCTAAAGTACCAGGTTTCTTTGTTGGGTTTGATCACCACAGGGGATGTTTAATTCTTCCTCTGGAGACAGACTAACAATAGGTGCTTTTGGACCAAACAGTTTAAAGTTATAGAAACATTTAGTCCTGCTACGGAGAGCTTATAAAGAGTTTGGTTTCATCTAATAGCATGAGGTGTTTAAAAAGAGGATAGTTAAGTAAAAACAATACAAACCTGCCAAAATACTGGAAAACAATCTACACCTGGGCTGTGGGAGGGAGAATGTTTCCAGGGTAAACCTGGTCTGTCACAGAGGTCTTATAAATTTGAAACAACCTCAGAAAGGTGAGAGGCTGAGGACAGGGGAGCAGGAGGAGTGACATATCAGCGGTGGTGAGACCGTATAAAAAATTAACAAGACAAAAAATATAGTTTAATTAACTAAAGCTGAAAAGATAGAAGTACTCTGAGTAACTTTTTTGTGAAGTCTGGATGTTCTCCAGAACATGATACTTTCATTTCCACCCAGAGTCCAAAAGCATGATTGACAGATGAATGAATGGATGGTTATGAGAATATGAGAAAAACCAGGCAACTCTGGGCCTCTGCTAACAAACAGCAACTTTCAATATCAACAATTATTTTAAATCGTTAGTGTCTTCAGCAGCTCCTTTCGGTATGTGAAACACTGAATTTAAAAGTGAGATGAATGAAAGGTTTTATACTCAATTTCAGGACCATAGGTGAGGGTAGGAATGTAGACCGAATGGTAAATAGAGAGATTTTGCTTGTAGCTTAGTTACTTTTTCACCACAACGGACTGGCACAGAGTCCACAGTACTGCAGAAGCCACACCCATCTGTCAATCTTATGCTCCATTCTTCCCTCACTGTGAACAAAACCCTGAGATACGTGAACTCCTCCACTTGAGGCAGAATCTCCCTCCCAACCCTAAGAGGACACTCCACTCTTTTCAGACTGAGGACCATGGCCTCAGATTTGAGGTGCTGGTCCTCATCCCTGCTGCAAACCACTCCAGTGATCATGGCACGATGACGTCAACAGGACCTCATCGGCAGAGATGAAATCCTGAGGCCACCGAACCAGACGCCCTCTGCCCCCTGGCTGCACCGAGAAATTATGTCCATGACAACTCTGAACAGAATCATTGATGACGGGGAGCCCTGGCAGAGTCCAACTCCCACCCTGAAGGAGTCGGACGTTCTGCCAGCAGTGAGAATCAAAGTCTCGCACTGCTTGTACATGTGTAAAAAAAATTGACATATTTTATTTTAATTAAAATTATCAATTAAAGATATCTGCTTCCTTGACAAAAATAAACTTTTTAAATCTGAGACATCAGAACAGAAAACAAAGAAAATATAACAACTTTACCATTTAACAGTAAAACAAACACAAGTTTTTGGATGGAGATCTAAATAAATATAAAACACAAATGTAGTCATATTTGTATTTTTTTATACTTATATTTTTCCCCATAATTTTCTAAAAAAAAAATAACCACAGTAGTTCTAATTATTTAGACTGTTTGAAATGTCTCAAATAAAGTGATCAGCATAAACCATAAACCTGTTTTAAATAGTTGTCTTGACCATCAGGACATCTGAGAAGTTGATATTTTTACAGGAACGAGCAACAAAACTCCAGTCAGTCTTGTGCAGAGCTGCAGATGCCACTCACCACCTGCTCCCAGTTAGCACCCTGGTATCTACTTTCCTAATTCTCATTTGGGAACAATCCACCAGATTTATCCACTCCTGGTTCACACGCAGAGGCTCAAACCCAGATAAACTTTACAACTATGACTTAGTAAAGTTCTGGTTTACCCTATGCAGCTATGACGACGTCCATGTGCGTTTGGTCAGAGTGACGAGAGTAAGTTAAACAACCAAAACAGTTAGGTCCAGCTAGTGTTGCAGTAACAAAATAAATTAAATTAAGTTTATGATTATGATTTTTTTTAAATACAGTGGTCCCTCGTTTATCGCAGGTATTTGGGACCACGCCCACCAGCGATAAGTGAAAAACCTCGAAGTAGGGATACAGTAGTCCAAGTTCAGTTCAAGTTCAGTAAACTTTGTCATGACGTGCCAGGCTGCAATCACTCTCATCACCTGTCACTCCCAATCTCCCTCCTTAAATAAACAATAAACATTGTAATACTATAACATTTTAAATATACAATCCATACAGCATGAATTGTATATTTAAAATTTTACAGTATTTAAATGTAACTTGTAGAGAAGAGAACATGTGTCCAGTTAACCACTGTTTTTGTCTGTCCAAACAGGTCTCACTTGTAAATGAGTCTTTGAGGCTCAATGTGATTTATCTGTTTAAATAAAGGTTGAATGAATGAAAAAGTGAAGAGAAGAGAAGAGAAGAGAAGAGAAGAGAAGAGAAGAGAAGAGAAGAGAAGAGAAGAGAAGAGAAGAGAAGAGAAGAGAAGTGCAGCAGGACATCAAAGGGATGTCACACAGCTTCATCTCTGCAGCACGGAGCAGAAATGTACTTCTTGATCAATTACACTGAAACAACTGAACATAGAAGTTCTAAAATAATTAAAAATAACTTTTAACACTTTTGTATTTTGTGATTATGAACATACTTGGAATTTTAAGTTGGAAGACAAAAGTCGATTGGTGCATCTGGACAGCAAAGGGTTAACCTTCACAAAGCCGATCCAGCAGGAGAAATGTGTGTTCATGGCAGAGAAGGAAATCAGCTGATCGTCTGCAGGAGGGAGCTTCCCCTTCCACTTGTGTGCTGCACACATGGTGCAAAATAATTTAAAATAATGTATTTTAAATAAACAGCCCATGGCTCATCCATCAATCAGCCAATTGTGTCATGTCCAATTTACTTTGAAAAACCGTGATATAGCGAATCCACGATAAACAAACCGCGAAATAGCGAGGGACTACTGTATATAATAACTAGAAAAAAGTCTGGGCAGGATGGAGAAAAGTTTCAGGAGTGATTTGTGACAAAAGGGTGGCAACAAAGGTCAAAGGAAAAGTTTACAAAACCAGATTGTATGGTCTGGAGACAGTGGCATTGACAAAAAGACAGGAGAAAGAACTGGAAGTGGCAGAAATGAAGATGTTGAGGTTCTCCTTAGGAGTGACAAGGATGGATAAGATTAATGAGATCATCAGAGGTGCAGCACAGGTTGAACAACTGGGAGATAAAGTTAGAGTCCAGACTGAGATGGTTTGGACATGTCCAGAGGAGGGACAGTGGGTATACTGGTAGAAGGATGTTAGAAATGCAGCTGCCAGGAAAAAAGTCAAAGAAGAGATACATGGATGCAGTTAGAGAGGACATGGAGGTAGAGAGGATGCAGAGGACAGAGAAAGATGGAGGAAGACGACTCGCTGTGGTGAAGAACAGCTGAAAGAAGAAGAAAACCTTTTGAATGTTCTCTGAAGGTGCACACAAACCTCCTTATTTACACACACATGCACACGTGTTTTCCATTGCGCCTTGTTTTCCTGTGACTTGTAGCAAACAGCCTGTTATCGGCAGAGCTGATTAGCTTTCCTGCCGCCAGCAGGAGGGCAGCTCCGATCAATAACCAGAAGTGCCTGTGATATCAGAGCTGCTGATGAACCCCCCGCTGTCCCGCTTCAGATGAAAACACCATTCATGGATCCTTTCTATCATTTAAATAGGAAGTTATTGTAAAGCAGATGGCAAACAAATAACTGCTAAATTCTCTTTCTCCCTGAAGAACAAGCTGTTCGTTTAAAAAAAACAACAAATTGTGCTATTCTTTAAAAGGTTTTTAAGCTTTAGGCCGTCTGGAACTATCACGGCTGAAACCATGCAGGTCACGTTGTGCTTCTCGTTGATGGGGTTGACTTGCACGCCTGGGAATTTTTAAAACAGCTCAATGATGAAATATAATTAAATTCTTGTGATATTGTTGTATAGCATGAAGGTTAAATAAAAATAGAAAATTATGTCTGATATTTTTTTCTCCAAGTTGCTCTTTTCAGAGTCACAGTGCAATACATTTGAAACTGATTAATTCATTTTTTAAGACTATGATTCTAATCAATGTTTTTATTTAACATTCCAATCAGCTTTCTCTGACCTAATAATAGAAAACCATTTGATGCTTTTATTAAAACCGGACAAAATGACTCACTCTGTGTATGTTCTCAGAGGTTATTGCCTTCAGAGCGTTGGCTCTGGTGAAGAAGACGCAGACTCCGGTCAACGCCACGTCTCTGCCGTCCGTCACAAACACTTTCTTTTTCTGACCAGGCTGCTGAAAATCCAGCTGGGAGGATGTTGAAGGTGCAGCTGCTGAAAGAAATTTTGGTCAAAAATGTAAAAATAGGACAGGCTTCAGAAAGTACGAAGCCTAGCACATGCCATGGGTCAAAATAAAAACAAAGGTCATATAAATATTTTTTTTAATTTAGAATTTGAGGTTTTCTGTGTGAGGTTTACCTTAATTTATTTAATGAGTGTGCACAGATTTACTTAATGTCATTCTAAAACCTGTTCAAATCTTTACCTCCAAGATCACAAACCATCAAATCATTGTAAACCCACAAAAATCACCTCCCGTCAGAGACTAAGCAGAGAATAGAGCCTAACTATAACTACAACCCTTACAAAAAACAACTATATGAATTTACCAAGTTCTCATGATCACATGATCGTTTTAAAAAGTTTTCAGAATCACACGTGAAACAACTCGTTTCACACAGTTTAACAAGTCTTCACTGCTGAGAATGTGATTTTCTCATACATTAACTTTGCATGTGTGCGTGTGTGTGTGTGTGTGTGGAGGGGGGGGGGGGGGGTCTAAAACTGTCACTAAAGTACCAGATGATACATTTTTCCTAAATTATACAAATGTGCATGTTTCCAATTCACCTGTTGAGTGCCTGGTGTGATTTAAGTGAACACGCAGGCAATACTATACATGTTGCTGAAAATAGCAGCTAAATATAAACTTTATTTCACTTCCAGTGTTACTACATACTGAAAACAAAACGAAACTCTGCTCCAGCTGCACATGAACATTAACGATGTCACAAACCTGTGCACAAATTTACTAAACTGATGGAACAGATTCCTATGACCTCTACTTTTATTTCACCATCTGGCACCAGCACAGCTCCATACTTTAGAGTGCTATTTGTACATTTGTAGTACTTTGAATAATATTTTGATCAATATTTGACTACAGACAAATTTATCTTCAAAGACAAATGCTGAAATTTAGATTTGTGGAATCCGGACAGTCAACACATTGGATTTATTCTTGCATATCTTGTAAATGATCTTGTGTTACCTCCCTCAGTGGGCTCAGACTCTTGATAATAAAACATGAGGTGGGGGAGACCGTCGGCCACAAAGAACTGCTCCATACGGTCAATCTGCACCGGTGGGGAGAAAATATTTAAAAGGTTTAATTGTTTAAGCATTTACAGTCTTAAAGTAAAATGAACAACCTGAACTTAAAATAGATCAAATGTACTTGCATAAACACACACAATGCACAGTTTACTCTGTGACTTTTATGCAAGAGAAAAATAATGTTGTTCTTAAAGTGATGCCCTTCTACTTGCATGTGACCTTAATATGTTGTTATTTACCTGATCTATTTAAAGTTTGTTGTGATGTGAGAACTCCAAATTACTTTTAAAAATATGAGATGTTTACACTTTTCACCAAGGTACATCTCCATTATTTAACCATCGCAGTGCATTCTTGGTCGAGTACATTGGTTGTAGTGGAGACTAAGGAGTTAAGGCTAAAAAGTTATACCATGACAAAGAAGTTATATTTTGTAATAATCGTAATGCACAATATATGGATTAAAAAAAAAAGAAACATGTTTAACTTGTGATGTTTAATTTATTAGCTCAGGAGCTAACACCTTAATATATATATATATTGATAAGCATGAAGGTTAAATAAAAATAGAAAATTATG